GTTTTTCTAGTTCCATCACCCGAGGCTGTATACAGAACAGTCTGAGAAAATTTGAGACGATATCTCGGAGATCTGGTCAGTTTGGACAAAGATCTCTAAGTGGGGACAGAAGTGACATTTTCAGCCTTGCTCAGACCATCTGGACTGTGATGACTTCACTTCTTATTGTGTGGTATAGTTTTTAAGATGACAAGAGGAGATGCATACTGAAGGGGAAATTGTGAAGTGATATTTAAATGTGGAGAAGAGATTTACCCTGTAAAACTATAGTGACCATTTTCACTAAGTTTATTTGTGATATCCCAGAGTCTACTATGACATAGTCACTGTGGTCTATGTCATAAACTGCACACACTGTCAAACTGCACGTCAGGGGCTGGGGATTTAGCTCAGGGGCAAAAGCGCCTGCCTGGCAAGTGCAACGTTGTGAGTTCAGTTCCTGGTACTGGAGAAAAAACAAAAAACAACAACAACAACAACAACAAAAAAACTGCACATCACTGTTGATGGATACTATAGGGAACACAAAACCCTTTTACACTTCTATGTGCCGTTATGGGTCAATTAAATCTAAGATTCTGCTACCTGAGCTGTATCCATCTTCTCAGTCTTATGCCAAGAAAACCAGGAATCTCAAAAGAGAAGGTTTTTAGTAATAAAAAGAGAGAATAAAAAGAGATCCAAGACAAAAGAGATCAGAGGCCTGCAGAACCTAAAGAAATACAATTTCCAAATGAGATAAAAATTGCTTTACATTTCAGAAAAATAACACTCCTTTGAGTTCCACAGGAACCCATGACTCCCACAGGCTTATGCTGGAATCTTATTTTCACATCCTTCGGTACCAGAGTCAGGTAAATGACATAGCTCTTTGAGTCTCAGTCTCCTATTCTGTCATAAAAGGAAATATATTGCTTCTAAGGGTTGTCATGAGGATTAAATTATTTCAAAGTAAAACACATAACACAGCACTTTGCAAACAGTGCAGACTGTCTAAGGAGTAGCTATTGTCATTGTTGCTGTAAAGGTCTCTTGAAGCTCAGTGTGGATATGAAGGGACATCCCCTTCTAGAGTGGGAAGACGGGTGCAGACTCACGCTGCAGGTCTCACTGACTGCTGGGAATCCAGGATTGAGAAGTAGATACCAGTAACTTAAAAATGATGTTTAAAGAAATTTCTCCAACTCTCCATTTCCTTCGTTTGAGGCTTTTCTAATGTCTACATTTCTAGTACCCTGCCAGGAAGAAAAATAAGTAGAGCAAACAGTTTTTGAGTTTGTAATTATAATTTGCTATCTCAAGGGAAATTCAATTATTATGGCTCTCTGAAAAGGAACTGTTACTTAAAGCCAACTCTATCCAATGGAAATAGTTTTGCAGAATGCATAAGTCCACAGTTTTGACCTTGGTTTTGGTTTCCTACACATACGACATACCTATTACAAAGTTTGACTTATAAATCAGATACAGTAAGCGATTAACAGTAATAATTGGGGCTGGGGATTTAGCTCAGCGGCAAACCGCCTGCCTGGCAAGCGCATGGTCATGAGTTCGGTTCCCGGTACCAGAGAAAAACCAAAAAAAACAAAACAGTAATAATTAGCAATAAGATAGAATAATGATAACAACATACTGTAAGAAAGTTATATAAAATTTATGGATCATTTAAAATGTATGGATCACTTATCTCCACTCCTATCATTTGGTCATTGTGAAATCTCAAGTAATTGTTGTGAAGTTTTTGGGTGATGTCTGTACCTTCTGGTTTATCAGAACTGATCTGGAATCCTCATCTGGGTCACACTTCACTAGTCCTCATTCTCTGTCTGGCTGTCACAAGGCAGGGTCCAAGGATGTCCCCCAAAGAGGAGATGGGGACATCAACTTGCCCTGGATAGGTTCTTGACTTGTCACAGAAGCACTTCAGGGCCATCAGTGGAGACATAGGCAAATTTATTAGGCTCAGTGAAAAAGGAAAATAAAAGAAGGGAGGGACTTCAGCCTTAGGAGCTAAAGGGGATGCACACCGCTGATGGAGATCAGACTGGCTGGAATGCAATCAACTTTTATGGATTCGCTGATGCGGGCTAGGGTTTGGTCATTACCGCAGTTCTGGTTCTGTACGATGGCTCTGGAAAAGTTCTTATCACTTAATCCACTACCCGTGAGATGATTGTTTCTGCTTGGGGCAGTCTCAGTTTTGTGGCAGTGCTGTTCAAATCTAAGGTCACCATAGGTTTAGGGCAATGACTGGAGGTTTCTGAGTGCTCACTGGTAATTGAATATCCCTGTAAATCTCTTAGCTTGGAGCCCTCAGTCCTGAGCATGGATGAGATAGGTTATGTAAAGAGCGAAGCAACCTTGCCATGTCAGCTTGTAGACAGACATCTGAATGACTAACATACTTGGAAGGAGAGCTTCGCAAAGAGTCAACTTAAAGTTTTAAGGTAACAAAGGACACAGATGCAAAATGAAGGTCAAGCTTTCTTCTGCTTTTACTCATTGCCATCTACAGGCTCAGGTGAAGAATCGCTGCTTTTGTTTTGTTTTTGAGGAGAGCAGCTTTCAAGTCCCTGACTGCCTCAGAAGAAAGCACAGCTCGTACTTCTACTGGACAGCAGGGTAAGGGCCCAGGAGTTCACTTGTCCTCTGCCCCGGTGGTGGTCTCGGCCTTCGAGTTCTCATAGAGTCTCTCCCTGAACACATGCAGCTTGTCACCAGCCGAGATTCACGGAGACCCCTATTCAGAATCTGGGGCCTCGCCTCTCCCAGGTCCTTTACCCAGGAAACTCCCACAAGTCTCACCACTCCTGAAGTCTGATCTACTATTTCTTTGCTTCCAAAACCACTGTACTCCCTTTGGACTCCACTTTTATTTCCAGTGTGCCCAGGGCAAAAGAAGTTTTTCTCTTATTTTCTTCACAGGAATGAAGAGGAAGTTCATTGTGTGTTTGCCTTCTTTCAAGGATTATGACCTATCTCTTGATTGTCATTTAGTAGTTCCAAACTATTTCTTCAAGGACACTGCATGACTGAAAAATATGATGAATGTCAAAAATTTTTTAATTTATTACAGTAAAAGATACATTCCATTAATTCCCCTCAAAATACCTCCCTTTGCTTCGAACATACTTATCCCATTGATCTTGCCACTTTCTGAAGCAGTTCTAGAAGTTCTCTTTCCTATATGTGTTCAGCTGTGCTGTCATGGTTGCTTGATGTGAATTGATTGAGAATTTTTACCTTCAGGGTCATTTTGACTTTGGGGAAGAGCCAGAAATCACTCAGCACTGGACCTGGTGAATACAGTGGATGAGGACACACTATAGTGTTTTTATGAGCTCACCTTTGCATTGGATGGTGTTCAGCAACATTCACTATATTTTTGATCCTATGTTCTGAAGACACAAAAGAGGATTTCCAGAACTGCTTCAGAAAGTGGTAAAAATGATGAGATATGTGTGTCTGAAGTGAGGGGGAGAATTTGAGGGTGATTAATGGTGATGTGTGTCCTACTGTAATAAATTTTTGAAAAGTTAAGTGTTCACCACATATTTTGATTACCCCATGACTAATTTTCTGTCATGCTGGGATCAGAAGTCACAACACTCAGTAAGTCTTTGCTGTGCTTTAAGACTCTAGGAATTCTCAAAGTCCCTAGGGGTAAAGGGCTGGGAGAACAAGAGAAGGAAGAAATCTATAGTTTAGGCTCCAAAATTGTAATACAGGAAGACCTTTAAGAACAACAATCACATGACAAAGAAGGAAATTAAATTTGTACATAAATAGAACTGCTTCATGAAAATGGCAAGAAAACAGCTACTATCTATTTGAAAGAGTGAGAGAATGGGTATTGATGGATAATACAGGGGACAGAGTCTTTTTAAGCCCATGTAGCCTAGACAGGGGCACGACTACTAAGCACTTTTGTTTCATCAGTAACGTGGGTTGGAGTTTGAAGTGAAATTTCAATTGATGAAAGAAAAGAAAGAGATCTTCCTTACACACAGAGTTTAGGAAGGTTCAAATACTCTATAGACGCTCTCCCAAAAGCAATTAGTCAAGTGAGTTTTCTTTTTTTAACCCTCATAAGATACTTAGCTCTAATCTTCATCAGAAAATTAAAGGGATTAGTAAAACTGTAGAAACCAATCCAAGTGCTCTGGGCAAACTCTTGACAATTGCACTAGCAATAATTAAGAAGAGGAGTGGTCCTCCCAGTGTAAAGCTGTGAAATCTAAACAGAGTGAATTGCGCTCTCCAGTGCACTTTGGGTAATGAAGAAGCGAAATGTGAGCATGGCCTCCCTTCATGACACACATTTATCCATCGGCAGCAATTATCCTGCTGGTAATTGCAATAAAATAGATTTTAGAAGCGATTAGCTAAGTATCCTCTTTATCATTTATAAAAGGGAATTAATTTTTTCATCTTTAAAGGAGAAAAAAAGGTCTGTTTGAAGGTGTTCCATCCTGATCACAAGTTTTTGTGTTCCCAGATGATAAAGAAATCCATTCTGGTCCATTTCAGCCCTAAAAAGATTATATTTTAAAAAGAATTCTTGAACTGAAAGGCTCCAAGGGAGGCCAGAGATGCAGGATTAAAGGCCAGCAGTCAGCGGCAGTGCCTCCCCCGTCCTGCAGAGCCGCTCAGTAGAGTTCTACCAGAGTTTGAGGGAGAAAGCTCTGGCTCCAGGGCACACCCCGGCTCAGACACCTGACCAGAGACACCCATCAAGGAGAGCAGCGGTGAAGGGCAGGGAAGGAGCTTTAGTGACCATGGCCGTGCTGGGAAGCACACGTTCAATGTCTGTCTTTGGGGAACTGACAGAAGCTTTGAGGTTTTACAGAAAAGGGAAACCGAGGCCAGGGTTGGAAGTGTTGTGGAGCTGGAAGTGCAGGTGATGGTAATCCTGGTCGGTCCTGGTTGATCAGTGTCTTGGGACTGGATGGGGGGCGTTGCTCTGGAGAAGTCCTTATGACACAAGAGGGCAATCCAGGTCCTGTGAGGTGAGTGCCTCTGTTCTGGGGTGGACTGTGAGGCCCTGCTTTTCTTTGAATCTGAGATGACTGCAGGTTTGGGCAGATGACTGGAGATGGTGAGGCATCCCTGCAGGAGTCCGGATCTGGATGATGTGAAGCTGCCGATCGGATGTCCCTGCTAGTCCTGAGATCGTCTTCAGTTATTTTGTCCTTGGTGTCTTCAGTCTTGAAGAAGGATGAGTGGACCATACAATTTATTGTGGAGGCTAACAACAGTGTATTATTAGTTTTTAGACAGACACTCCTAGCTCTAATATGCCTATGGGCAGAGCTGAGCAGGAATCTGATTCCAAGTTTTAAAGTAATAAAGCAGAGAGATATAAAATGAAAGCAGAGGTGCCAAATTGAATTCTGCCTTTAGCTAGCCATTGGGCATCTGCACGCTTAGTGTCTGAGCCCCTGTTACATTTGGACTATCCTTTCTTCCACTTTCACAGTCAGAGGATGTCTCTAACCCTGTTCATTCTCATGGATCTCGTATGTAATCCCACAATCTCTCTCTCCACAGCACACTGAAAACCTACAACCACAGCCGGTACAAGCAATGAAAACTCTTCTCCAGTCCTGCATTCTACCTGACTGACATTCTCTCCACAAATTTGCAAATGAATTCAAGGACAGAACAAGGTCGAGTATAATTCCTGCCCTTGGAGTCCACCAAGAATCTTTTAGGTAAGTTGTTAGATGAACTGCTTGAGAACTAACAATGACTATGCAGTTGTCTCTATTTTGATTACTGGCACAGATTTATAATTTGCTTGCCACAGTTAATGAATGCTTCAACTCCTTATTTTCCTATCAACAATAGCACCCTCCCTGCCCAGTCATTCAGATGATGATTTTTCCTCCCTTTGTTATTGTGAAGTGGAAAGGAGAGTGGGATTACAGCTTGTGAAGTGCTGCTTCCTGACATGAGATGTGTTGGAGAACGGAAGATGACACAGCACTTGACATGCTGAGACTAAGGTCTCTCTTACCTTCCTACAGTCTCTTTAGAAACTTTTCCCAAAAGAAAATGCAATGGTCTTAAATCTCTTTTCTGGGACTCTTATGAAATAACCAGGGAAGATTAAACCACTGAAGAAGAGATGAGACTAAAACAACACCAGACCCAGAGAGACTCTTCATCTAAGAGGTTATGCGGGAGATTTCATCTGCGTAATAAAACTGCCCTTATTTGCGGTGAGAGTCTGCCCCTCACCTTTCAGTAACTTATTGCCACCTGCCTAAAACCTGAGACAAACATTTTTCCCAGGCCATTGTCTGCTCTTTGGGCTAATGTGTTTCTCCTGTAAATTATTTACTACCCCTTTAAAATTTCCTACTGCAAACTTTCTCATTTCCCTTTCCCCTTCTACCCCTTAAAGAAGGTATTTAAGCTTCAACCATCTGACCCGTTATTCTACAGTTTCATATTTATACGGCTTCTGTGTTTATGCATGTTAAATAAACATGGGTGCATATTCTCCTGTTAATCTGTCTATCCTCAGTTAACCTTAGCAAAACTTCAGAGGGTTAGAGGGGTACCTTCCGGGGTTCCTATGGAGACCTAACTGCAAATATGCTGCTGGACTCCTCTTGCTTCCCTTTGGAAGTGGGTTAATGCACACCTACTCCCTGGCGTCTGTCACTGCTGAAATCCAGTGTGAGTTTAACTATGCCGTATGAGTGTGTATCTAAGAGAAGGAAGACATAAGAATGTGCTATGGGGGTTTGGACATCGTTTCAATGTGTCCCCAGTGGTCCTTAGCATGGCAGTCATGGAACAAGGACAAGGAGTTAAGATTAGGCAAGATAATTAGGTTACTGTGGTGCTGCCCTCATGCGGGATTAATGCAGTTCTCATGGAACCCCAGTTCGTTCTCACGGGTGGGTCGTTGTACTGGAGCAAGATTGGTTTCTCCTTGCTTTCTGACTTCCTGTCCTACCTTCTGGTCTCTCCTTTTAGCATACATCTTCACCGCCGTGCATCTACCATGCTGTCATGCATCTGATGAGGCCTGAATCCAGTGTCAAACAGATGTGGACACTTAATCTTAGACTTCCAGCATATAAAAATGTGAGCTAAATAAACTTTTTTATATATTACCTGTCCTTGGAGATACATACATTTGTTTATTGTTTTTGTTTTTCTTCTTGAGTTGAGACCATGCCTTGCTCTGTAGTTCAGGCTGGCCTTGAACTCACTATATGGACCAGGCTGGCCTCAAACTCATAGCAATTCTCTTGCCTCAGCCTTCCCAGTGCTAGGATTACAGGTGTGCACCACCATGCCTGGCTCCACTTGGGCATACTTTTATAGCAATGAAAACAGACCAACATAGACTGATTCCTGCTTAGATAATCCCGGGAGTATAATGAAATTTGTACAAAGGGGTCATGAGTTGTTGTTTTTATTTTAAATAACAAATAAGTTTTGCTTTTGAATGCAAGTGACAGAAACTTCCATTCAAATTGGCTTAAGAAAAAATAAGGAATGAAGTCATTTCATTGACCAAAACATAGAGCAGTAGATCTAGCTTCAGACTGTTGAAAGGACTCAAACAAAGTCATCTCTGGATTTTGCCTTTGATGTTGGGCCTTATCCTCAAATTTCACATAACAGCTTTTGCAAGATTGCCGTGTATGCCCTCCTGGGCTCAAATCTAGGAAAGTAGACAGCACTGCCTGGCAGCATCTATGTAAGTAACAGTATTATCTCCAACTGGAGCACCTTGGCGCATGAGAACATTCTAGAACTGATTCCTGTGGCCTGAGTGGTTCCACGCTCCAACGGGCCATGCTTGGTCACATTCTCCATCCTGGATCAGAGTTTGAAACTAATACTGTTACAGCTAAAAACAGTGAATTTCTACCACAAGGGAATATTTAAAATAAACACAATCCAGCAGAGAACAGATGGCACTCAAAGGGACAGTTGAAGAAACAAAGGAAAGAGCCAAGCAAAATGAATAAGGGATGAAGAAACACCAGGGCTAGGAACAGCAGCAAACTGCTTTTGCCCCTAGGCTGAAGGTGAAGGAGGAAGGAGGTGTCACCAAAACTGGGTGGGCGTAGCTGTGAGCCTGGGCCTCCAGGGAGGGTTGTGACCACACCCAAGAGGAACATGATGACTGACAAAGCACAGTGCAAGACAGAGTAGAGAGACTAAATGCTTCCACTCCACCCAACTTCTGATCTTTTGCATATGATTGGCTGAATCTAAGCAGAAGCCAGAGGGTACAGAACCTGGTTGATCCAGTCTGCAAGGGTCATGGTCTTGGGACAGAGAGCAGTGTGGGAAAGGGATCTGAAGAGGCAAACGGAGAATAACTAGCACACTTTGTTTCTTGAAATCATGGGTTGGAAAACTATGGCCCACAGGCCAAATGTGGCCCACCACCTGTTTCTATCAATAAAGTTTTATTGGAATACAGTGAAATGAGCAAACGTGTTTACCTGTCATTTATGGCTGCTTTTGCACCACAACATCAGAGTTGTAACAGAAATCATGTGGCCCACAAAATATAAAATATTTGCTACCTGGCCCCTTACAGAAAAAGTTCACTCACCTCTGGCCCAGCCCAACAGAGCCACTGGGCCTGATATAGTGTGCCTGGCCTAGGCTGTATGCAAATGGTTCATTGAATGAAAAAATAAATGTGCCACGTACCTTTATATCAGAGACCCTTAGCTGGCTTACTCCCTTCCTTTGAGGCTATTGCTACAGTAGCTGGTACTGTCTCTGTACCTCCTGATCTCTTCTGCTGCCTGCTCCCATAGTTTTATCCATAACATTTTCCTTGGTTGCTGAGAGTTTCACTATTGCCCCTGTCAAGGTCCTGGGATGTAAGGGAGACTGTTCTCCTTTGACTTCTAAAGGAAGCCCTGCTATTTCCATTTTCAGGTCCCTTCTTTGGGGTAACTTGAGGAAACCATCTCAGAGGATAGGAGGCCATTGTCTAGCATTACCAGGTATCACATTTAAAACTCTCTTCCTCATCCCAGCAATCATGGTACTAGTGCAGGTACCTCAGGAGGAGTTTCCTGACTACTCAGACCACTCCTCATGAATGAAAATTCATTCACTCAACATAATGTTCTCTTGGAGGCCACTAACATTTACCTTTCATTGATGCCTGATAGTTGTCTTTAATATCCCATAGTTTTGGAGATTGGCCCCTACTGTATGCCCTGACTGTGAACCTGGCTGTAGATTTTGTTTAGAGTTGTGTAAAAATACCCAGGCTACATAAGCAGCAACATAAACACAGTGCAGTGATCAATGAACAAAACCAAATTAATCTGACACACTTCATGCTATATATAGTCATTATTACCACACTATGTGGTAATGAGGTAGGGATGGTAGAGAAATACTATAATTGCTAATTTTTATCCAACCCTAACAATGGTCAGCAAGAATGAGAAGGACAACTAGAAGAAGCCTGAAAAAATGTTCCAAAATGCTTTAAAGATTTTGATGGGGACACTGGGGATGCAGCTCAGCGGTAGAATGTGTGCTTAGCATGTGCAAGGCCCTAGGTTGGGTCCCTACCACTACTAACACCAGAGATTCTGACAGTTGAAGAAGGAGGCCTGCTGGGGTGATTGGAGAGACAAGAAGGCTATAAGAGGGGAGGAAGTCAGATGGAAGTGAGGGTAAGAAAGGAAGCTGGGGGCCCCATCACCAATGTCATCCACGCTGCCCCTTGTCAAGAGCCAGGGAACTCACTAGACCTTGAAGGGAAAAAATGGGACAGTCAGAAAGAAGGATCAAGTCTCCTCCAAAGAGACTTTTCAGAGAAGAGAGGGCAGATGACTCGTACAGGAGGTAGTTTTGGTGTCACATCTTCATAAGCACTGTGTGGCCCTAGGCACACTGCTACTGACTGACCAGTGATGTCTCAAAATCTTGTGAAATGGAGATCAGTGCCTGATGACTGGAGGAAGCCCCCACTCACTCATCTTATCCAAATGAAGAACCTTAGTGCAGTTCCTCAGTGAGAACAACCAAGTTTGTGGCTGGGTAGTAAAAATAGACAGTGGCTTTGCAGATGGATTCTCTGATTTACCAGTGTCTGTGAGTGTGTGCATGACACACACCCACAAACACATGCATACACACATGCACATCTTCTTCTGGAAGTCTTCAAAAACACAAATCCATCCATGTTGATCTCCTACCTAAAATCTTCTGATGCTTTCCCACTGTTCCAAACTCTAGTGTTTCTTACAGGGCCCTCTGTGACCTCACCATGCCTCCTTCTTAGTCCCTGTGTTTGGCAATGTCATCTGGTATTCTGTGTCCCACCCACACTGAACTGCCACTCCCTTCCTGCTAGGAGCCATATCCTCGCCCATCTCCTTTATTACGCACCATTCCACTGTGGAACCTCACTTACCAACTGCCGCTCATCTCCCAGGTGTTCACAGAGGTCTTCCTGTTTGTCTGGGTGAGGGTGGGGGACCTTCTTTGTGCTTCTCGCCCTGTATCTACATCCCTGGTTGTAACACTCATTGTGGTTTAAGATACTTCCTTACACAATGGTCTGTCTGCCTAGCAGTATCTAGGAGAGTAGGCACCTGGTCAGACTTTGCCAATTTGGCACACATCTGGAATAACATAAACTCATTGATCCAAACCATGAGGCTCACCAGAGAGGAAAGCAAAGCCATAGGCTCATTATTCACAGCCACAAATTTCTTGGCACAAATGTGGATTGGTGGCTGGGTAACTTGTTTTCCCAAAAGTAAGAAAGCAGTTTTATCATAAATACTTGGACCCCAAAGGCCTATTTTCTGATGTTTACAAATAAACCACTCCTTATACTATGTGAAATAAAAATGTCCTTTGATCTACTTGCTACTTGGCTCTGAAACTCTTTGATCTTTCACATTCTCTAACAAATGAGTCTGAATCTGTACTAAACAGTCACTAAACTTATCATAACTTTTTTTGTCCAGAACAATAAACCAATATATGTTTAGAAAGTGCATCAGAGGATATGAAAATGATTCATAGGAACATAATGGAGCCAATAGATTGGTGACCCCAAAATAATCATCTTTAAAAACCTAGAAATAATTGTTTCTTACTGTGAAAAAAATTTTAAATGCAACCTTTAGAACATACACCTGTTAGAGGCTGAACTTCTGTCTCATTGCTCCTTGTATCTTGAGGGACTCTTTCCATTCATTTTCTAATGTGTCCTCTTAAATCTGCAGGCTCACCGGAGCCATGTTAGCCTTCTGTGCTCACTTTCTTATCAGTAAGGATTCTCTCTTCAACTGATATGGACTCAATGCCTTAAAGAAGCGTTCTATCTATTTAAGTCCATTTTTAGGTACTGCAACAAAATACCAGAGGCTGAGCACTTTAAAATAAAAGAGGTTTGTTTAGCTCACAGTTTAGGAGGCTGAAAGTTCAAGATCAGGCAGTCCCCTTGTGGTCCTCTTCCTTTCTTGTTTCACATTATAGCAGATGACACCATGTGGAAGCAAGTGTGAGAAGAAGAGATCAATGGGAGAAAAGAAGACAGAGAGCAAGGTGAGCCCTTTAATAATAACTCACTCTCCAGGAAACTAACCAAGACTCCATGAGAACTGCCTTAGTTTCTCCCAAGGATAGCACCTCTGAGTAGGGTCCACCTCAAAATTAGCACCAGTCCATCCAACACAGGAATCCCTGGAAGATACACCCAAACCCTAACACCACCTCAGCTAGGTCTCTTCTCAATGTATTGTGTTTTGCTTTAATCTATAGAATTATAACTTTTTAACTAGCCTGACCATTAGATCAGTATTCTCAATATCTAGCTCAATTTCAGTTAATATATAAAACCAGTCTGGGCTATATCTGAATCATCATACCATTTTAGCTCATGTGTCAGATGGAACTTTGAGATGTACAGATCACAGGACTTGCAAAAAATATACTGTACTGTAGGGAGCATGGATGGGATATCAAGCCAGAGCTACTAAAATATCACAGAGCTTCCAAAGCAGGGGTCACTTCTAACACTTGGGTATAAAAAGAGTAAGTACACGGCAGCAAATGGTTCCATGGAAAGGACCAGTTAACCAACAAGATGGCCAAATATGGATCTATAACTGTAGCTGATTTTGTAGTAACTGGGAGATATGATTACACTATGGTAAGCATTGGGCTTAATGACCACTAATACGTTTAGTATTGTTTTGTCTTCAAAAGTTTTCAAGGATGCTATTTAACATTCAGTTATTTGAAAATGTGCTGCACCACAGAGTGAGAACTATTTTCAAAAGGTCATTAAGGCCCTCCTCCCTTATTTAAGGATAAGGAAACTAAAGTTTTAAGAGATGAGATTTGAAATTGATTCAGTTTGACTGAGAACGCAGTCCCTACAACAGCCACTCAAGTGCTTTGTTCAGTGTATCTGATACCCTCTCTGAACTTACAGACCTAGGTCACCACAGTTAAATATGAGTAGGAGAGAAAAACACCTGAAAAAACAGACAAGAATATTATCAGATCCCTGCTTGCCCTGAGAATGTGTCTCTGCACTCTAACTATCTGGGCACTGTGGAGCCTCTCCAAGAGCAATCAAATTAGTGAAGTCTGAAACTGTCTAAACATTTGCATTGAGAGTTGGACATTTTAGAAAGTTATGACTCCAGTTTGCTTGCCCTTATTATAGTTTCATGAGGCTCTTCCACAATCCATAGTAGGTCTTCGCTAGCAAGACAGCATGGAAGAACAGGATGGTAGACATTGTGTGGAATAGGAATGGAGAAGTGAAGAAATTTACCTGGCTACAGTGCTGGCTCCTGAGGGGAAGGAAGTATGTTTCAGAGTGCTCACTTTGAACCTTAGGTGTTCTGCCTGCAGGTGTTGGTACATAAAGGGATCCAACCCCGCAGTTCAGCTGAGGCAGTGGGAATCCAGGTGAAGGGAGGTAGTAAGGGCAGGTGGGAATTTGTGGTGTGCTTCTGAGTGATGATTTCATTCATGGCAAACCCACAGCGTATGGCTGAGGAAGGGGAACAGCATCCAGCTGCAGGGAAGAGACCTGAGAATATGTAGACAGAAGGCCGGGCTCACCCCACCTGAGTGGGTTCTGAAAAGAGATCCAGTTCCAGCACAATGGCTAGGAGGTGAAACGGGGTTGTGAGACAAGGCCGGTAGGAAGTGGGCAGGGAGTTGGCAAAGTGACCATGTGCCTCAGTGGACATACAAGGCACCAGGAGGCTACTGAGGCCTTCGTGGGACCTGTCGGTCTGTTATATACTGTACTTGGTTAAAATTGTTAGAGTTTAATAATGTATTTTGGAGTGTCAAAGCCCCTACATGCCCACCTGTACAAGATACAGAAATGATTTTATAAGAATTTCCCTGTCAAATGCACAATGCCCTGGATTTGACCCTAAGCACCACACACACACACACACACACACACACAGGTGCACCATTTCATTAATGCTCCTACTCACCCCCAATCCTGCAGCAGACTAACCTCTCCCACCTTTGTCCTACTCTTCTGTGTCTCGATGTATTTATGACTAGGGCTCATCTTCAGCCATTGTGCATCAAGTTGGCTACACTGGTTGTAAAATTTTTTTAATATTTCTGTACAGGTTGAGAGAAAGTTGCTACGCCAAGACCTCCGCACGCCTTCCTCCTCCTGCTCTCACTCTGCCTGGCTCCAGACCTTCCCAGTCCAGAAACCAAACGGTTAATGCTAGAAGCAGCAGGACAGGCCCCAACACGCTGGCCAAGGTCTTCTGTTGCCCTCAATACCCTTAGGAATTCCCAAGTGTGGATCAGAGCATCCAACTTCAAGTCTGTCTCTGATTCCAATTGCCAGGTGAATCCCTTAGTTTCTTAGTTTTCTCATCTGTAAGATGGGCATAGATGTCTACCTTGCAGGGCTTCCAAGAAAATCACTGGCTTACACTTTCGATTTTAATAAAAAGGTTGTGATAATTTTGAAGAAGACGTTAAGCTGAGCCAGGATGCTGAGAAAATTCCAGAGGAAAGAAGCAATAATCTGAGCCACTTGGTCTGACAGAGTTTGCTGCTGGCCAACCCTATCACACCCAGCAGCCAAAGCAGAGAGAGTAAAGCAGGGCTCATTTCCCAAAGCCAATGCAGTGGCCTAACTGGCGACAGACCCCTGATCTGACTTTACTTACCCAAATCTTGCAAGGTGTGTGAGAAAACCCAATTTTCACTGCCTTTGTTTTTCCACAGAGCTCTTGAATGGGTCATGAGCTTGAAGGTTGCAGAGTCTCCAGAGAAGCACAGCTTCTTGGAAGTTCTTAAGAGTCCAGGCACTAGTCTCTGGAAAATCTGGAGTTCCTGGGGACTATTAGAAGCTTTAACTTTCCATCAAAGTTAAATATCTCAAAAACTGTTCCTGGGAAGTGTCATCAACACCTTCTTAATTGGCGGCCTTGGCATTGACTCAAGGCTGTGGTTTCTACTTCAGATCCTGGAGCAACATCAAGCCCTCCTCCAGGATCAGTTCCCTTCTGGATGGAAGATAAGTAAGAACCTCCAGCTTGGGGAAATAAAAGGAACCTAGCTTCGGTGAGTTGCATAAGCCGTATTTACACTGCTGTTAGAAAATGCCATTCTCTCCGGGAGATTATTGGCCAAAAGCCCTTGACCTCCATCCTCACAGTAAGAGTAAGAGATGAGATAAGACAAATTGATTCTTCAGCAATGGACGTTTGTTCTGAGGGCCAGAGGTCAAGATCTTAGAAGAAGGAAGCACTTGTGCTTGCATTCAGATGGGTGAAAGCTTGGACAGCAGGACCCGGCAGAAGGAACCACCAAAGGGCTACCTATCTCACTCTTGGAAAACTTTCCACCTCAGACTGTGATCACAGCAGGTTTTACTTGCTTTGCACATCCTCTAGATGCATGTGCCAGCCAGCTCTCTACAAGTATAGCAGGACCTACAGTCCAGGGACTTTGTTCTAAAACTGCAGCTGGAGTTCTTCCCTTTTCTGATTTCTCTTTCATACTGTGGCCCTCACATTCTTCAAATGAGGCCGTTTGGAGCTTTGTCTGAGCAGTAGAGTTGAACAGCAAGAGAAAAAATGACAGCCCCACCAAAAATGGATCCCTTCAGAGGAACAACAACAGTAGATTTGGAAGAGCCTATAAAAAAAAGAAATTTTCCTCTACGTTCTTCTGGTGTTGAGTGAAGGAGTGAAATAAAAGAGGAAATTGTGAGGACATGGATGTTTGGAATATCTGAGAGGAGAGGAGTCCACATTTCTGCTCAGGTAGAACCTAAGAAAGTGGTAAGACCAGGAGAAGAAATGGCCCAGAGATGAGATGTGTTGCTTAGGTAAACAGGGAGCATGTCCCAGGCTCCAGTGTGACCACACATCAGCAGTTGGACCTATGTGGCTGGTAGTGACTGGAAATTGGTAGGGCCTTGGACAAGTTCACTGAGTTTCTCCGCTGAGCAGGAGTTAGGAGAGACCCTGAAAGAGCCCTGGAGGAGCCAGCAGTTAGAAGCAAGTGTCAGTTAACAGCCCCTTGCATTACCAAAGACTAAGCAACAGCCAGGTAGAAGACCAGAGAAATAAGGTGATGACCACATGAATGGTAAGGGTGGAGGCCAGGCTCCGGGATGCTTGGCATTGCATCTGGCAGCAGAAATGATGATGTGACCCATTGGAGTGGAGGTGGGGACACTCCATGTTGAGATTATTTTTTCACTTCTCCAAGAAAATGGACGTTATGATATAAATTAAGTTACCTGAGTGAGGAGACTGATATGCTTATATCCTATTGAGGTGGGATTCCACAGTTGGATAAAATTCATAGTACACGGGTCTACTAAAAATAACCAGAAAGACCTAAACCCAACATTCATAGTGGTCTCTTCTGGGTAGTAGAATCATTGGGTCCTTCCTTCATTGCTTCCTTCCTTCCTTCCCTCCTTTTTTCTTTCCCCCCTCATTGCCTCTGTCCCTCTCTTTCTTCCTCTCAGGTATCTTTTTGTCTAATTTTCACAATGGACTGTTTTTCTACTTTTCTACAACAAACAATAAATTAGAACGCTATTGATTCTGTGACTCTAGCAGTTTGCCTTTTGTTTCTTGGTAGATTTATGTGCACAGGAGAGGAAAACAGTGCACCTCTCATTACCAAGAAGCTTGCAGTTTTCAAGAAGCAGTCACTAATGTAAATGGCCTTTGTTTTACAAATCTAGGGACTCAGTTAAATGCACAGGACTTTGCTATGCAAAATATGAAGAGGCTGCAGAATGCAATGCCATTTGTTCTAAAGAATATTATCACAGCCCCTGGGTGTTTACCAAAGAGAAAACTACCATCTGCAGATGGTCTAGCGGCACATTTATCCCATTTCCACATGTCACTAATGCAGTGCTGGAAACAAAGCTAATCAAAGTGATATTTTAGCAGGGAAGAAAGGTGTCTTTACTTAAAACCAGAAAACCATTTTGGTCATTCCCAGATTTTTAAAGATCAAATTCCAGCTGAATTTCTGTGATATGCCATTTAAATATCTTGGAAATATATATATATTTTGAAATATAAATACCATGGAAATATATGTATTTTCTGAATTTTTACATATATATTTTATTATATACATTATAATTTATATATGTGTGTATATATATATACACACACACAGTAATACCAATGTGCAATCATTAAATATGATAAAATATCCGGCAACATGATACTACATTAAAAAAGATACATTTTCAATTTTCAAGAATTAACCACTATATTCTTCCTTTTATTGATTCAAAATCCAAACTACTTCACAGCCATAAATGTTGCAATTTCAAACAAATCAGAGAAGAACTTCCCAATTTTTCTTTTAGGTTGTATCTACACATAAAGTTAATATGACTAAGTTCAGTTCATAACTCAATCAAATCTTTAGCCTAACTAACCCTTAATTTTGTTTCAATTCTCCTCCAGAAGTTAATAGGATGCTGTGGTTTAGATCTAAAGTGCTTGAAAAATGGTCTCATGTGTTCAGGGGTGGGGATTTTGGAAGGTGATTGATTATGCATTAATCCACTGGTGTGTTCACAGTTGAATATGCTATGAGGAAGCAGGGCCAAGTTGGAGGAGAAGGGGCATGGGGTATGACCTGGAAGGGTGTATTCTTTTCTTCCATATCTTCCTCTTGTTCTGGCTCTTTTTGTTTTCTTTGTGCTTCCTGGTTGCCATTAAGAGAGTAGCTTTTCCAGTAGGTCCTTTAGCCATGATACTTCTTCTTGGAGGGATCTGACCATGGACTGATACCTCTGAAACTGTAAGCCAAAATAAACCTGTTTTTTGTTTTTTTTTTTTGGGTGTCAGATATTTTGTCCCAGGAAAGCTGATCAATAGACAGGACTATTAAATAGTCTTGCATTGTCAAACAAAAATACCAGCTGTATGAGGGAGACAATAGAATGGTTTCACCCTTTACATTGTTGATAGGAATGTAAACTAGTACAACCACTATGAAAGTCAGTCTGGAGATTCCTCAAAAAACTAAGATTAGAAATTCCATTTGACCCAGCTATTTCCCCTTCTAGGTATCTCACGAAAGAGTTAAAAACATCATACTATGATGATACAACATGATACATACATTCCCATGTTTATAGCAGCACAGCTCAAAATAGCTAAATCTTAGAAGTGGTCTATACGTCCATCAACAAATGAATGAATAAAGAATGTAGCATTTATACATAGTGGAGTACTATTCTGCCACAAAGAAAGATAAACTTGAGTTATTTGTAGGAAAATGGATGAATCTTGAGATCGTAATACTAAGTAAATACATCAGACCCACAAGCTCAAGTATCCCATGGTTCCTCTTATATGAGAAACTCAAAGCATCAATAATAGAAGAGTAAAATAAAAGATAGATAATAGGAAATAGGAAGACAGATCTTTTGCAAAAGAGCAGGGGACCAAGAGATGGAGGGAGGGAAGGGGGAGGGGAGAGGAAGGGGATAAAAAAAGAAGTTGTGCTAGGTACATGTATTAAGGCTCCATGATGAGAGGAATCATTATGTCCTGCAAACATATACCAATAAAAATAAAATATTTATACAAAAAAAGAGTTGAGGGGTTCAGAGGTCAAGCTTTGAAAGGCCAGGATCCTCAACGGGAAGCAGAGGGTTGAACCTGAGTGACAGTGTGTGACTGGTTTCATCTCGTTCAGTGCAGCCAATCAGATGTGAGCTACACTTGAAAGGTGCCATGAATCAGGGACAACCAGTGCATTTCAAGGAGCTGCACAATTGTTCTGCTTCACGTTCTGTCACATAAAGACATTATTCCCCAGATCTGGTACTGCGTGACATCTGGCCCTTCCCCAAAGTCAAGAGGACCATGAAAGGTAAATGTTTTGAATCAATTCGAGACATTGAGGGAGCCCCCGTGACAGTACCCCTACAGACCTGAAAAAGGACGTCCAGAACTGCTTTAGAAAGTGGCAAGGATGGTGGGATAAGTGTGTTTGAAGCACAGGGTAGTACTTTGAGTGGGATTAATGGCAACTTGTCTTTAGCATAATAATTTTTTTATTGAAGCATTCAATCTATTTTATGATCACACCTCATAAGTAGTACATCACAGCTATTGGCATATAAAAAGCATCATGTCAGTTCTGTTAGTGTTATTATAGATTGGTTTCACAAAATGTTCCAATAATGAGATCTTTGAAAATTCCAGTCTGCCACTGACTATTGGAATCTGGAATGTGCCCCTTGGATTGCCGCTGTCACTGGCTGCCCACCAGTTCCCATGACTTCATGGAACATATGACTGGGCCAATGCTCAAAGAGAAACAGCTGCAGAAAATCAAGGGTGGTATTACAGACAGTAACTCACTGTGAATCAGGAAGAGACGCTATCTTTCAAGTCATTTGTGAATCAAAACCCAGCCAAGGCATCAAGCCTTCCAGATGAAGGGATCATCGGCACCCGGAAGGCTGCTGATGGCAAATTACCTCGGGTTTAGGAGCATCAACCCCGTGCTGTGCTGTTCCCTGGGGTTGTCACACCATTGGGAATCCAAGACACAAAGCCAAGAGACTCATCATGAGACCTGACGCAGGAAGCGGCATGTTCCCCCTTCGGCACACTTCCTCCAGCCCTGACTTGCTGCGGCACCAACATCGCTGTGGATACTTATCAAGTAGCCAGCCCCGTCTGTCCCATTTTTTGAGAAAAGGGTGATTATTTTCATCTGGATATAGCCAAATATCCCCAGTGCTCTCAGGGTTATCTTGCCATTTCAGTGCTTCCTTATCCAAAAGCAAGTAAGAGAGTATATGCTTTCCTCCTCTCAAAAGACCCAGCACTTGGGTAAACAAGGAGAAGCACAATTTCTTTATTGTGACCATCATGGTTTATGTCTAGATGTCCCCCCAAAGCCTCATGCAGCCTGGGGGACGGGCTTTGTGGAGGCAGCTGAATCTAGAGTTTGCATTGATACATAGTGCACTGCCGGGATTAAAGGTGCGGAGATTACGGCTGGGTGATTGCTGGATCAGTCCACCGACTGGATTGGCACCGCCTGAATCCTAGCAGTCTGAATAACGGAAAAAGGGCAGAAAGAGGTTTGTTTGCCCTTTTTTGCTTGTGTTGCTTTTGGTATCTCTGCTGCCATGAACGATTGCCCTCTGCCATGCCACCTTGGTTTGGAGCCAGTTGAGTATGGACTGAAACCCCCACAAACTGCGAGCTAAATAAACTTTTCCTTCCTTAACTTTGGGTGTTGGGTGTTTTGTCTCAGCAACAAGAGAAAAGTACCTCAAAAAGTGACCTCCATACCTAGGTCATTACAGGTTAACACCTTCTTTGACTCTTTAGGTGTCTAAAATTAAGTTTTCTATAAATTAGCAAGAATTGGTTTCAGGTGATAAAATATAATAAGATAAACAGAAATTCAGTGATAGTGTTTTGTTTTTTTTTCCAGTACTGGGAATCGAACTCATGACTGCGCTTGCCAGGCAGGCGCTTGCCGCTGAGCTAAATCCCCAGCCCCTTGATGACGGTGTTTTAAAGAACAAAAACAGAACAGAAACTAGCACTGTGAGTTTGGGAAGGGTGAGGGCCTCGGCAAAGGGAGTGAGCAAACGTTTTTTTACCTCAACAGGAAGTCATGTGTAAAGAATGAAAGGGGTAAACCGTGAAAAGTCAGCATAGCACCTGATTTATCGATATGGAGAAAACCACCAGAAAAATTCAAACTTTAAAATTTAAAAAGGGAAGTGGTTTTGGGGGACAGGAAGGGACCCGTTTAGGGAGAAGTAAAGCAGACTATTTCTTTTTATCATAAATGCGTATTATCTTAATTTTCCCTGTTTGCATGTATTAATTGATAATTTTTTAATGTTTGGAGAAAACATTTTAATGTTTAATTTTTAACTGTGGGAGGAAAAAGGTAGTTGGTCTATCCATAATAGAGATGGTTCCGGATTTCAAAGCCTAGTCGATTAGGACTCACCACCTGGTAGTTCTTCGGGAAACTGGCGCATGACCTGATATCTGTACCTCCAACCCCAAAGCAAGGAGCTCACAGAGAGGGCATTGCCTCCTCTGAGCACTCTCCTGGCAACCCCATTTGCGGGCCATCTCAAGTATGTCTCCGTGCTTTCTTGACACGTCCTTGCCACATGTAGAGTTGTGGGCGTAGGATACACAAGCTTTGGCCTGTCCTCTTCCCATCTCCTCGTCATTGGGCTGAGGCTGGTGTGTTTCCCAAACTTACCCCACCCCGCGGTGGCAGGCTTGCTGAATCCCATCACAGAAAAAGAATTTTCAGGGCACATCAGAATGAGGCGCAAGTAAGTTTCATTAGGCGGACAGAGAGAGGGGAGTGGGGGTGCTCAGACAAGTGAGACAGACACATTACAGTTTGGAACTGAACGCTACACTTACACTTTTCTTGAGGGAGTGAAAATCTAGGGGAAAACACACCAGCCCACCCGTACCCTCCTCAAAAGGATACCAGCCTATTAGCGTGTCTCTCTCTCTTTTTCCTTTTTGTTTTTCAAATAGGTGATTTAA